AGGTTAGGGATAGTAGCAGAGGGTGGGGGCAGAGAGAAGAGTCTGTGCCACTATAACGGGGTAGCAGGAGGGTGATCTCTATGGTGATAGAGCAGCTCTGTATCTTGATCATAACTCTACACTTGCAATACAATGTGGTAGAACTATGCACACACATTGCACCAATATCAGTTTCCTGGTTTGTATATGGTACTGTAGTTATGTAAAATATAACCATTGAGGGTAAACTNGCATCCCAAGCCAGCTCTTAACCACCACGCCACTCGGCCGGCCCTCTCTTTTTTTCTTAATTCATCTTTCCAGAAGTTTTCTGATTTCATTACTTCTGACTTCATTATTTCTGACTTTCTTACTATTCTTCTAGTCTAAGTTTTATTTTTTGTCGTATTATCTGATTTCCAAATACACAAGATTTTTAATTTTAATTTTATTACGTTTGGTTGGAAACATAGAATGTATGATATTAAATACATGGAACTTAGTGAGGTTTTTTCATGCCCTGAAACCTTGCTACATAAAATGTAGTGCACGGACTAGCACTCTTGGCATCACCCAGAGGATTGTTAGAAAAACAGAAACTCAGACCCTGCCCCACCTACTGAATCAGAATCTGCATTTTAACAAGACCTCTACTCAATTCATATACACATTACGAAATTTAAGCAGCACTGGCTTAATACCTGAGCAAACGAAGCCTCTCACTTAAGAATACCTACACTATTCTAAGGTGTTAGTAATGTTTCTTAATCAGAATGCAGGTTCATAGTTATTCATCTTATTCTTTAAACAATATAGATATATTTTATACACCAATTTGAATGTATATTTTGCAGTAGAATGTATGCAAAGAAATTTAACCACATGGGGCATGACCAATGTAAGTATCTTGATCACAGTGATAACAAGATGAACTTTTTTTATGTGGCCAGCATCACACAGGCCCAGGTAACTTCATTATAACTAGCTCAAATTCCTTGTAATTAGCAAATTTCTTTTCCTTTATGGTAAGAATCATCTCACCTTCAGAAAAGTTAAAAAAAAATTGGCAGGTAGAAAGTTGGGAACAGATGTGTTTTGAGACATGGCATTTGCCAGCTCTGAGCGTGAAAGGCTTGTAACCATAGTCTAATTATGACCCACAAAGTTGTTATAGGATGTCAAATATACAGTCATGCTTGTGAAATGAAGGGCAGCAGTAACCTAAAATCAGTGATCTTTCCTTTTATTATTCAGACTATGGTGGAAAAAAATGCTGGCAAAAATTGGGGCTCTGCAGGAAAAACTGCAAAGTTGATGAAGAGATAAAATCATCATGTAAAAATCATCAAGTCTGCTGCGTTCATGCCCATAAAAACCAGGGGCAAGAGACTTTTAAAAAGAAAGTGCCTACGGCTCCTCCCACAGTCTCACATAATTTTAAGCCAAGTGCTATCGATGCTGTTATAACAATACAGTCCACGACGGCCCACCTTCAAACATGAATACAGAAGATGGAAAGTCTGATCCAAGACTGGGAATTCAGATATCTCTCCCAGAAGTTCATCCAAGTTCATGGCTTCCTCTTGGCTGTCACTCACCCCTGTCTTCAGAGCGATGGACCAAGGCATATAGATAAAACATTAAAAATACAATAGTGACACACACCCTCCCTCCATCAACGTGTAATTCTAGATAGAAACGGCTGTGTAAGGAAGCCCCAAAATCCCCAATACTGTCAATGATGAACTCCTCAGTACTTTTCTTGAAATGTCAAATTATTCCCACAAGTTTTAAGCCATGTCTAGTGCCCCTTGTTTGCTGGTGACCCATGCGCAGTCTTAATAACTTACTTAAATATTCCAGCACCAATCTTAGTCTTCCCATTTGTCCTTCTGTCTTCTCAACAAGTGGTTTGGGGTGCTGGAGGCACCCCTTGTGTCAGTCCTACCTCTTGACAGCAGCATAAATTGTCACAATCAGAATTCTAAGTCCTTGCATTTATGAGAGTAGTTTCTAAAACACTAAAAGGTTTCTTTATGACAGCAGACATTTCAGGTGAAAGCATCAAATTTACTACTAATTCTGTCCCTAAAGCCTTATCTCTCACTGTAAGAAACTGTCTGGCCCAAGTCTGAGCTCTGAGGACTCTTTTTTTTTTTTTTTTTTTTTT